TTTAGGGAAACTAAATAATTAACAGCCTAGGTATTTCTTGGTTTTTTTTTTTTTTTTTTCAATTTGTGAGTAGTTTGGTTGCCACCTTTCATTTATCACCTCCCTATGCCTCCAGCTTAAGAGAAGGAGCAAGTGACAGAAGTTTATATAGCAAAATATTTGGGATTGTTAGCAAATGTTTGGGATGCGATGACAAATTTTTGTGAAGTTCAAATTCAACAAAAATCTGTAAGTGCAATTTCATGGGGGGAAAAACCCTCTTGTTGAATTAGTAAAACTTCCATTTGAAACAATATCTTTTGAAATAATGCTTCAAAGATGCTGTATGGACAATGTCATACAAGATAACCTGCATGAAAAAATTGGCCTTACATGATATGTTATTGGATGGACATCCAATATTAATGGTTTCAAAAATATAATCCAGCGTGGCTGTTTCCGTGTTTGTATTTACATTGCAGCTTGTTAAATAAAATTTAACTGAATAAAAGTTACTATCTCAGATATCAATATCCCAAGCTACAAGCTAATCGATGCCAGTGCCGTTTTATAAAAAGCAAATATGGTGCAGCTCTTACTGGATCATCCTTATGATGATCCCTTTTATTGGATGTGGCTGTTAATTTCCTAAGAACTCATCAAAAAAGAATGTGCAAATTGCACAATTCTGCAAACAGTTAAATGTTGAACAACATTTCTCCTTTGCTTTTCTTTTTGTTTGTGATAATATGTAAAATATTTCTATACTGATAAAACAATCAAAGACACATTGACATCTTTTTCTGAAGAAATACTGTATTTGTCAAATACTTAGTGCTTAGTATAGTATACCTTTTTTAATCATCTCTGTTCTTTATACCATAGAGCATTTCTTGTTCTGCTAATTCCATAGAATTTCAGAAGTGTTTAGGGTATTCTACAACATTCTTGGTCAAAAGAATATTCCTATGCATTGCAAGCCCTGAATGTAAGGCAACTGATATTGTTGCTTAGAGCCTGAGTTTGAAGGATCCCACCAATTCCGTCATTGGAAAACAGCCTATTGAATCTTCTCCTGAAACTTAGTAGGTGTTTTGCTTAGATATATGCCCCTTAAAGATGATTAAGATAAAAGCAAGTTCTTTTCATCCTGCACCTCATTTAAAAGTTGCAATCTTTTAAATGTAATTAATTAGTTGATTGGTTTGTTGAATAAAAAGCAATTAACTAAAGGTAACTCCCATTCAACTTAGTAATTACTTTTGTAATAAAGTTTATTTCATTAATTTAGGGTACAATTTCTGTACTTCCATTTCAGCTAGTTCTAGAGGATGAAGTTTAACATTGCCCGCTTGAGTTTAAAGTCCTCTGATTGGACTCTCTGTTCCCTCTGCCCCTTCCAAATCTGCTGTAAAGGATCTTCCAAACCACTAGGGCAGATTTGGGAGTGCAAGATGGAGCTGAATCTCTGTCTTTGGAGTTCCACTGACTGAAATACTTTCAACAGCAGAAAATTATCATTAGATTTCACCTGTTTTGAAGAGGAAAACATAAAGATTATGCAATGTGATATTACTTAGGACAGAACTTTATATATCATGAAAATGAATCCCTCATCTTAAGTTTTATCCCTCTTTTAATGGGGCTGAAAAACACTAAACACAGCACAAGATGTAAAATCTTATGCAATACATTAAGAGATTAATCAAAATAGGTATTTACATTTCTCCCAGTTAAGTTCAAACATTTAATCAAGCTCTGCCTTCTTTTTTAAAGGGAGAATTAAAAATGCAAAAAACATTGTATATATCAATCTGTCAATCAGTCATAGACCCAGTATAAAATATTTAAAATCATTCCAGGAGTAAGAATTTAAGGTACAACATAATGTATTAATAATATTATTACAGGGATTACTAAATAGTATTAATGGACTTTATAACACTAAGGTCTAATTATGGTACTTTTAATTGATATTATTGATTGATATTGATTATTGATATTAAAACTGCAAAGTCTAAAATATGGTGCTGCAGTATAAACAAACAGCATAACATTAATGAAATAAATTATTATAATATGGTATATGCTGTGGAGATTGCTATAAAATTAATATACACATTCAGAAATATTCTGATTTAATCTTCTTCCAAGAAACCCATCAAAATCGTCAAAAGACAAGGTTATAAAATACTCTGGGTGTGAGAATAACTTTTATTACAAGGAACAGATGCTGGTGAGCCTAAGCAGCAACTAGCAGGTGCAGGTAGAGGAACAGTGTCCCGTTTTCGGGTTGTTTTTTGTTTTTGTTTTACATACAGTCCATGTAAAGTGCAAAAGAAATATCTCTGTGAGCTCTTTTGAATTTTTCAATAAGGAAGTTGAAAAGGGCTCAGTTCTTTTCTAATTAGGGACCTCCAAAATTAACTCGGGCATGATGAGCGAATCTGCTGTGGGACCATATGAATTGGGTAAAATAACTCATTTGATCCTGTGGCACCTTTCCTTACCATGTACAAATTATAGCTATGTTTGGACAGAAGGTAACTCAGTAGTTAAAAAACGCTTGTTCAGTTCCTCAAAATAAAAAACCCTATTCTGAAACCAATTGTATCTTCCTTTTTCAAACACTAGTGCATCTTGTAAAGGAATTTGATATGGTTAACATTTTTGTTTCAGATCATGTTCCAGTCACAGTTTCTTGTCTTTTGGCAAACTTCAGTCCTATACCCAGATATGTCATTTCAGCCCTTAACAGTTTCATATTGCTGACATTAGTAACTTATGTGTTAAATATACTTTTGAAACTTCTCAGGCAATGGCAGGTGGCTAAGCAATCAAATGTAGTTACTAAACAGTTGTTTTAAAGAAAGAATTACAGCAAAAATGCTCATGGCCAGAGCTTTCCTTTTTATTCTGTTTTGCTGATGGAATGTGAAAAATCTGATCGACTTTGAGGAGAACCCCAGTTTGGGGTAAGCCCCTGAAAACATTTAATTTAGACGTTCCTCTATTTTATTGGTATTGTCATTTAAGACAATGGAATGAAAAGACATTTTGGGACACGAGGAACCTTTTCTTTTTCTATCCCAAGTTAACGTCTGCTTATTTCCATGAGGTTTGTGCATGAGACCTTGTCACAGGATGATGTCTTGATGATCTGATCTCTCTGATACTACCAACTTTAGTGGTGTCCCAAATCATCCTGGGACACTTGTCTCTCTGTAGGCAGAGCTCCTTGTAGCAATGTTTTCTTTTCTTTTCTTTTTTCTTTTCTTTTCTTTCTATTTGGTAGAGTTTAAGAAGAAGACATGCCTGGTATATTTTTAACTTTTGTTCTGGGTTAAGCCAGTATTTTAGCTGACAAAATTAATCATGTTCTTTCATTTTCTGGCTGAAGCAGGAACTGCTTTTTCCTGTCTGGCTCCCTTTTTCCTTGGCCAGGAGACAACCAAGAGTTTTACAGGTGCCTTCCTGGTACAGCAGCTTTGTCCACGTGTTTTAATGGGAGGCTTCCCAGGAAGGTCCTTTGCAATTTAATTTTGGGTTCAGGATGAAGATGGACAATTCTGATGGCTAGGCTTTACTAGTACAGGTACTCAAGAGGCTACTTGCTTCAGTGCAATTCTTGTTTCAGTACATGAAGCCTGAATATACAGAAGCTTGATTGTGCAACTATGTTCTTATAGAACAAAACCAAGCACATTTAGCAAAAGGAAAAGACAAAATATCCTAATGTCTCTACCTTCATTTAGCCCTGCTAAAATTACTCTTGCTATCTTTTCATTGATGGAAACTGATGTTTGGAAATATCTATAGGGCACTTCTTCCTCCTTCCTCTGTCAACCACCAACGAACCCAACTCCCAACTGTCCCAACACCCAACCCTCTTCCTTCAGACCGTCTCCCTTCTCTTCCTCCAAAAGGGAAAGCATTTAACCCTTTATTATGATCAGCCACTACACTGGCTATGCTCTGTTCTTTGTTACTCAGTTCCCTAAGATAAACCAGTGCATTGTCTCAGGACTTTACATGCCTTACTCCAGAGTTTTGTGAGTTATAGGCAGTGAGTATTTAGTGGCAATTCTTGGTCTTAGGGTTGATAAATTAAGGCCTAGCCCTAGCCCCCTCCCTTTTTTTTTTTTTTTTCAGTCTCTGAGGCTACCTCTGAGTAGGATTTTTCCCCAAATCAACAGCAGTTTTCTACCATTTTGAAGTAGGAAATATACGAAAAGTATAGTGTAAATGGTAAAAGAAGGTTTCGTTTTAAAAATGTGAACCAAATATCTCCCATAAAACCTGGGGAGAAAACAACAACCACAGAGAAAATCCTAATCTCACTTACTTGTGTGACATGGCACTACATGCTTTACAACATCACTGCAGATCCTTTCCCTCACCCTTCTTTAAGGGTAGGGAAATTGGGGTTCTCCAGATGTTGCTGAACTACAGCTCCCAGGATCTCTTACCACTGTTCATTATGGAGTGAGGCTGTTAGTTCAGCAGCACCTTGAAGGCCATAAGTTCTCTGCTCCTGGTGCCGACGGAGCAGAAGGGAAGCAGAAAAAAGACAAATCAAGTTTGTGAATGCTGATCACTAAAACTTCTATATTGTTTTGCTTCTCCCTATGAGGTGGGTGGATTGTGTTCTGATCTAAATCGTGGCCTAACTAGCACAACGTGCTCTACAGATTAAGGAAGATTATGTACCATGGCTTCTTTTCCTCCTAGCTAAACATCTAAAGTGCCCAAGCATTCAACATATGGTAGCAACAGTAGGAAAGCTAGTAAAAAGCACAGGCTTGGAGTAGTATAATCCTGCTCAGGTTGCTTGTGCTAACTAGCCTATGTATTTTGCAAGGAAGAGAAACTGGTCATTACATGAAAGAATATATAGTTACCATGTTTGCCCTCCGTACCAAGTCTTCACTTTCCTCAGTCAACAACAAAATAAATGTATGGCTTCTGCAATTTTTTTCTTTCAGAACTATGGAAATGCCAATTCAGTGACTTTGCCAGAGACTTTATTGTTCGTTTCAACTCTTGATGGGAGTTTACATGCAGTTAGCAAGAGAACAGGGTCAATTAAATGGACTTTAAAGGAAGGTGAGTATAAGAGATGCTGTCTTGCCCTTCTCTTCATTAACTTTTGATAATTGCAAAACCAACATAGGTTGGAATCAGTTTTGTTTTTTAAAAAAAAAACAAATCTCACATTCTGAAGAGTCTGCTAGCCTGTGCATGGTTACTTATTATTTGATTGTAAGTCCTATGATTTCAGTGAGACGCATTTCCAAGTTAGAATACACAGGATTGCAGACTAAGAGAATAAACCTTGGCATGACTATTCAGAGGGAAGTCCTGCTGAATTCAAGTGGAACTTACTTCTACATGAGTATAGTGCAGCCAAATCTACCAGTTTCTCAGGCCTGCTTATCTTCAGGAATCTTGGAAATCTGTTTTTTAATATTTGCCTTCAAAGTCTAACTTCAGATTATTTAGACAGGTGGTAGCGTAATTGTGGACTCAACGCCTAGGATAGGAAAAAGGGCTAATGCCATTAGAAAGCTACAACGTCTAGCCTTAATTAAAATGCACCATGGTTTTTGAAGAGAAATCCAGGCTGTTTCCAGGCTCTGGGTGGCCTTTTCCAAGACTTCAGAGTTTTTTTTCCTCTGTTGCACTGGCTGGCATGCTATGATTTGACCTGATAAAGTGTACTTTATATGCCCAGACTGGTTATTTCCCAACAAAAACTGTGAGAAAATGCCATCTGGTACAGTACTTTTTTTCTCAGATAGAAATATTTTTATCTGTAATGGATAAGTAGATCTATTCCCTTAAATAAAGAGGCTTTTCATTTGAATTAGTTTACAAATAAATGGACTCGTTAGGATAAGCTGTTAATGAGCTCCAAAATACAGAGACACATGTATTTAGCCATCCCATTCTCTCTGTTCATTTTGGTGATTGTGGAATTTATTTTAAGTGACAAAAAGAATGTGTAATGGTTATGCAAATGTTCTAGACCACGAAAACAGTTTAACTCCTCTTTAAGGGGATTGTCATGCACATGAAGTTTGCATTGAAGTGTACCCAGGGCTGTTCAGTCCAAAACTGGATGGGTATGTGAAACAACACTTCAGTTAGCCAGATATGAGTATTTGAATGTATTGTTGTCACCACGCGGGTGGGGGTGTAGTGGTTTGTATTTGGGGTTTTATTTCTGTAAGCCACCCAGAGTCACCGTGACTGAGTTGGGCAGCCATATAAATTGCTTTAATAAATAAATAAATAAAATTGGCAAATGCTTTGATAGAAAAGAGGTGTATGCATGTGTCTGAGTGAATGAGTAGATGTAAGAGAGAGAGAAAGGTTGTCATATTTTATTATGGTTTTAAATTAAGAACAAAATCTAATGCCATAAGAACTGACCTTCACGCTCCTATAATTCCCTAAATCTGTTTGGAGCTATTTTGCTGCGCATTTGTGGATGAGGGGGGCTGTGGAGTGGAAGAAAGTTGCCATTCCAGTGACAGATGCTATTCGATTGCTGGGAGCTGTTAAATGGATACCACCCTACAGTAGAAAATAAGGGTGCAATTATTCAAAAGTGTGTAGTACTGACTGTACTGATCCTTAGTTTCAGAAAAGTTAATTTGGAATTGAAGCCTGTGTAAAACTGTGTACTGGAATTTGCACGTTACTTTTCATTGGGAAATACATTATATTTTTAAATGAGAGTGTTTAAAATTTTTTCCAATGCAAACTCATTTCAAGGCAACTGCACCACAAAAGAAATTTTCTTCATAAACATGTAAGGCTTTAAAAAACACACACAGAAGAGCTGAAAACAAGCTGGCAGTTTATTAATAGGATAGGAGTAGGCAACTTTGAGCCCTCCAGATATTTTGGTCCTTCCAATTCCTTGCCATCAGCCTTGTTGGCTTGCTCTTAAGGCATGGGAATTAAAGTTCAAAGCATTTTGCTATACCTGATACAGATATAATAGCAACATGCATTAGCCCAGTTTAAGTGTACAGTTAAATACTATTTAATAATTTTGGTTGCCATGCTACTCTATTGAGTATTGATTAGCCAACTAGAATACACACTAGACTAAAAAAGTGAAGTATAAATCATTAAATACTGATAACCATTGCCAAGAGTTATGCAAACTCTTCTGATTATAAAGTCATAATGAATAGTCTTCCCTTGTTCTAGAATTAATTATCCTGGAAATAGCTTAATTGTTAGACAGACAGATATAATATAATATAATATAATATAATATAATATAATATAATATAATATAATATAAT